AGTGATTTTGTTTTGGACTGAGTGGGAGGATGGAATTTCTTGGGAACAAAGGTATGCGATTTTGGTCTTTCTTGACATTGGTGTTGTTGTTGCATTTGTTTTTAGCATGATTGATTATTATAATGATAATGGTAATAGTAATGATATAATGATATGATAGTGATTGTAATAATAAAAACAATATATTGATGATAATAACATCAGTAATGAGATTAATAATTATAATAATCATCATAATAACAACAACATCAACAGTAACGATGATGATAATGATAGCTAATGATAATGATGATAATAGTAATGGTAATAATAAAAATAGTGATAATGATAATAATGATAATAATAGTAATGATCATAATACTAATAACAACAACAGCAACAACAACAGTAATAATAATAATAATGATAATAATAATAATCATGATAATAATGATAATGATAATTATCATAGTAATGATAATAATAGCAGTATTAATGATAAAGCTAATATTACAAATAATGATAATGATAAAGATAATAAGAAAGATAATGATAATAATAATAATAGTAATAATAATTATTATTATCATTATTATTATTATTATTATAATGATAATAATAATAATAATTTTAATGATAATAATGATACTAATAGCAACAATAATGATGATGATGATAATAATAATGATTACAATAATGATAAAAAACAATAATAATAATAACACCGATGATGATGTCAATGACCTATCCGTATCCTTATCTTCACCACGATGTCAGTAACTCACCCTCACCCCCCCCCAGTAACTCACCCTCACCCCCCCCAGTAACTCACCCTCACCCCCCCAGTAACTCACCCTCACCCCCCCCAGTAACTCACCCTCACCCCCCCAGTAACTCACCCTCACCCCCCCAGTAACTCACCCTCACCCCCCCAGTAACTCACCCTCACCCCCCAGTAACTCACCCCCCAGTAACTCACCCTCACCCCCCCCAGTAACTCACCCTCACCCCCCCAGTGTTTATCTCCCACAGATTCGGCGCAGAGAAGGACCTGATGTCATGTCCTTCGGGAAGATGTCACTTTACCAACAGAAAGAAGGACATCAACAAAGCGGATGCAGTTCTCTTCAGGTCCGATAGGTAAGGATGGAAGAGAGAGGGAGAGAGGGGGGGGGGGAGAGAGGGGAGGAGAGGGGAGGAGGGAAAGGGGGGAGAGAGGGGAGGAGAGGGGAGGAGAGGGGGGGGAGGGAAAGGGGGGAAGAGAGGGGAAGAAGGTGGAGGGGGGAAGAGAGGGGGGAGGAGGAAGAGGGGGGAAGGAGGTAAGGATGGAAGAGAGAGAGAGGGAGGAAGAGGGGGGAAGGAGGTAAGGATGGAAGAGAGAGGGAGAGAGGGGGGGAAGGGGGGGGAAGAGAGGGGAGGAGAGGGTGAGGAGGGAAAGGGGGGGAGAGAGAGGGGAAGAAGGTGGAGGGGGGAAGAGAGGGGGGAGGAGGAAAAGGGGGGAAGGAGGTAAGGATGGAAGAGAGAGGGAGAGAGGGGGGGGGAGAGGGGGAAGGAAGGAAAGGGGGGAAGAGAGGGGGAAGGAGGGTGGGGGAGGGAAAGGGGGGAAGAGAGGGGGAAGGGGGGAGGAGAAAAGGGAGGAGGGATGCAAGGAAGGGAGGGGGAGGGGGGGGAAGTGAGGGGGAGGAGGGAAAGGGGGGAGGAGGGAATGGGGGAAGAGAGGGGAAGGAGGGGGGAGGAAGGAATGGGGGGAAGAGAGGGGGGGTGGGGGAGGAGGGAAATGGGGGGAAGAGAGGGGGGGTGGGGGAGGAGGGAAATGGGGGGGAAGAGAGGGATTAGGGAAGGAGATCGATCAGATATCACGAGAATCACCATGTAAAACCAACCAACGGGGGTGCATAGAACAAGAAGGAAGAGAAGAAGGAGAAGAGAAAAGAGAAGCGTAATAAGAAGACGAAGGAAAAAGAGAACCCGAGGCAAAAGGAGTGAACAACGAGGAAAAGAGGAAAAAGAAGAAGAGGTAACAAGAAAGAAGAACAAGACGTCTAAGTTAATGAAGGAATAATGGGAAGAAACTTGAATCCGGGTACGAAGTCCGGAGACAAAGCAGCTGCCTCAGAAGCCCAGCATGACTCGAGAACTAACGAAGACAGACTCGCCTCAGACTCATACGTGACAAACCCAGCCGACTCCTACATACCAGACTAGAAGAATTCCCCCTCCTGATTCCGCCACAATCCTCCTTCCTCAGTCTCCTCCCTTTTCTACTCTCATCCTTCCTTTTCTCCTCATCGCTCCTCCTCATCTCCCTCCCACATCCTCCTCCTCCTCCTCCTCCTCCTCCTCCTCCTCCCCCACCTTCTCCCCCCCTCCTCCTCCTCCTCCTCCTCTTCCTCCTCCTCCTCTTCCCCCTCTTCCCCCTCTTCCCCTCCTCCTCCTCCTCCCCCTCCTCCTCCTCCTCCCTCCTCCTCCTCCTCCTCCTCCTCCTCAACCCACAGAATCGACCCACACAACTTACCCCCCCGAGGCCGCCACTCGAACCAACGGTGGGTGTGGGTGGGCGTAGATGCTCCTCTGTCTGCCGAGGCGAATCGGTCGCGCGCCCTCTTGCGACGTCTCGGGAGCTCGACCTTCAACTGGACCATGACGCCAAACCCGGATTCTGAGGTCTTGCTCACCGAAGGCTTCCTGACTTCGTTTCTGTCGACGTCGAGGTGGGTTGGGTGTGGGTTGGTTTTTGGGGTTGTTTTTTTGGGGGGGTTGGTTTTTTGGGTTGGTTTTGAGGTTGTTTTTTTTGGGTTGTTTTTTTTGGTTGTTTTTTTTTTGGTTGTTTTTTTGGGGTTGTTTTTTTGGGGGTTGGTTTTGGGGTTGGTTTTTGGGTTGTTTTTTGGGTTGGTTTTGGGTTGTTTTTGGGGTTGGTTTTGAGGTTGTTTTGGCTTGGCTTTGGATTGTTTTTTTTGGCTTGGTTTTGGCTTGGTTTTGGGTTATTTTTGGATTTTCTTTTTTTTTTTTTGGGGGGGGGGGTTGGTTTTGGCTTGGTTTTGGATTTTTTTTGGATTCTTTTTTTTGGATTGGTTTTGAGGTTGTTTTTGGCTTAGTTTTGGGTTGGTTTTTGGTTGGTTTTGGCTTGGTTTTGGGTTATTTTTGGGTTGGTTTTGGGTAGGTTTTGGGGTTGTTTTTGACTTGATTTTGGGTTGTTTTGGGTTGTTTTTGGGTTGGTTTTGGGGGTTGGTTTTGGGTTGGTTTTGGGTTGCTTTTGGCTTGTTTTGGGGTTGGTTTTGGTTTATTTTTGGGGGTTGTTTTTGGCTTGGTTTTGGGTTGTTTTTGACTTGGTGTTGGGTTGGTTTGGGGTTGTTTTTGGCTTGGTTTTGGGCTATTTTTGGGTTGGTTTGGCTTGGTTTTGACTTGGTTTTGGGTTGTTTTTGGTTTGGTTTTGGGTTATTTTTGACTTGGTGTTGGGTTGGTTTGGGGTTGGTTTTGGTTTGGTTTTGGGTTATATTTGGGTTGGTTTTGGGCTATTTTTGGGTTGGTTTTCGCTTGGTTTTGGGTTATTTTTGGCTTGGTTTTGGGTTGATTTTGGGTTATTTTTGGGTTGATTTTGGGTTATTTTTGGGTTATTTTTGGGTTGATTTTGGGTTATTTTTGGGTTGGTTTTGGAGTTGGTTTTGGGTTGTTTTTTGGGTTGGTTTTGGGTTGTTTTTTGGGTTGGTTTTGGGTTGATTTTGGGTTATTTTTGGGTTGATTTTGGGTTATTTTTGGGTTGATTTTGGGTTATTTTTGGGTTGATTTTGGGTTATTTTTGGGTTGGTTTTGGATTATTTTTGTGTGTGTGTGGTCCTACATGTTCTAACTGTAGCACGAATTTCAATCGTCTCGATACGCGAAATGAAGTATAACTATGTGAAGCTGGTGGAAAGGTACGGCAAAATATTGAACATACGGATATTACTGAGTGAATCATGAACACAGAAATTTTGCTCAATGTTATTGTGTGAACCTTGTAGTTATCATTATTTACATAATTTTATTTATATTGTTAGAAACACTAGAAGTAAAACAAAATATTCTGCTCTTTTATATGTGATAATATGAATATAAGATATGGGAAATGTTATATTATTGCCGTTTTCTGTCAAACGAACGATATATACATACAGAGTTGGATTTTCACCACGATAAATAGTAATGAATATTTCAAAGAGTTTACAATATATATATATATATAATATATATATATATATTTTTTTTACTAATGGAATATGTGTTTCTGGATCGCCCATTACCAGTTAACCAGTATTAATATTATTGACACTGAACTGCAGTACAAAGAAAAGACTAACATTCGGAGTAACAAGTGTGACACTTTCAGTACCTAGCAACGCCCACACTCGTCGGACAGAATCATAAATCCCAAGAAATATACATAAGCTTGCCACATCGTTCTGACACTTTAGATAAAAATAGAAAAAGAAAAGAAAGAAAAAAAATCTACGTCCCGCATACGATGGCGAAGAAATATCTCTTCGCTCTGATCATGGAGGATTATCTGTGCGACTATTATGTATCTGAAGGACTGTATAGAGCTCTGGCATATGGTCTGGTTCCTGTTGTGTGGGGAGGTACGGGCTCTTTGGGACTGAGAGACTGCAATGACCCGTTGTTGCTTTGCAATGACTCTTCTTCTTTGTGTTTTCTCTTTTCTTCCTCTTCTTCTTCATCATCATCATCTTCTTGTTCTTCTTCTTTGTATTTTCCCTTTTCTTCCTCTTCTTCTCCATCATCATCATCTTTTTGTTCTTCTTCTTTGTATTTTCCCTTTTCCTTTTCTCTTTCTTCTTATCTTTCTTCCCCTTCTTCATCATCACCTTCTTCTTCTTCTTCTTTTTCTTCGTCTTCTTTTCTTCTTTTTCTTCTTTTTATTTAACTTCTTTTTCTTCTTCTTCTTCTTCTTCGTCTTCTTCTTCGTCTTCTTCTTCTTCATCTTCTTCTTCTTTGTATTTTCCTTTTTCCCTTTCCTCTTCTTC